TGAACTAAAACTCTGAAACCTAGGAATTAATGATTACTTCAGAATGTGTATAAGGACACTTTTTATTTTTAAAGTTGGTAATGTCTTATTTTTTTATAGCTGCTATGTTGAAAATGTTCATGTTTGTTAAAACAAATATGCTCTTACACTCACTAATATCTCAATTTTGGTAGGAATGTATCAGGGTGGGGCAGTGTGCTTGTCTGTATTTGTGTATGGCAGGCAGTGATGGGACTAACGGCGTTGAAAGTAACGGCGTTACTAACGCCGTTACCTTGTTTTAGTAACGAGTAATCTAACTAATTACTTTGACTGTAACTATAACGCAGTTACCATTGCAGGCACCCCGTTACTGCGCGTTACTTAGGTCGCGCAATGAACCTTTTTTCATGATAGGACTCGTGCGCAGCTGCGTGAAGCTGACACCCCACCCACGTCAAAAAACTCTGCAAATAGACTGAATGGTTAGTGCAACGTTAGTGCAGATTTGTGCAGAAAAAAATATTGTTTGTGCTACTTTTGTTTAAGAGATATTAAAGATTATTTTTTTAGGTCATCCAGAGGTGCGCGCCTTGTCATGAGAGAGGGGAGGATGAGATTCCGTCTGTCAGTTGAATAGGTGGGTGTTTCTGCTGGCGGGTGTTAACGTACAGCACACACAGAGAGATGGAGAGTGAGGATGACTCCAGCAGCAAAACAGCGTTTTCCACATGGAAATACCGGTGTTACGTAGAGCTGCGTTTCCCCATCACATAACGGTTTCCTCTGCATCTCCACACAGCGCAGGCGGCACGAGTCACCGCGCAAGCGACAGGAAACGCGCATGCTCGCTAAAGGCGCGCAACAGTCGCTCTGTGCTCGCGCCACAGGAGAAGTATGGAGAGCGTGAACGATCAAATGAACCTGACAACAGCCAGAAATGATAGCCTATATGGAGAAAGGGAGAAATCTGGATGGATGGATGGATGGATGGATGGATGGATGGATGGATGGATGGATGGATGGATGAATGGATGGATGGATGGATGGATGGATGGATGCTCTGCCTTCTCAACCTACTGTATTTTTTATTTTAAACATTATTTGATGGCCTTTGTGGCAGGGATGGAGATCCATATTTTATGTCACACACAGAGTATACATCTAGATAGATAGATAGATAGATAGATAGATAGATAGATAGATAGATAGATAGATAGATAGATGTTGCAGTATCTATAACAACCCAAACACACAGGATTTCAGAATTAGACATCCCCAGTTATTAATTTCATATACTCACCAGATCTGAATGTCCTGTTATAAAACTTCACATCGCGTTCCCCCTGATGTCATTTACGTTGAGTTGCAATAAATGCTAAACTGTCTGCAGGTTCTTGTCTTTGTCGTCCTCTCTATTCAGCTGGCTTTGGAAACACACGGCGAGAAGGTGGGGGCTGGGTGGTGAGGTTTACGGGGGCGAGAAACGCAAAAGTAACGCAATAGTTACTTTTACTAGTAACTAGTTACTTTTATTGTGGAGTAACTCAGTTAGTAACTCAGTTACTTTTTGGGAGAAGTAACTAGTAACTATAACTAATTACTTTTTCAAAGTAACGTGCCCAACACTGATGGCAGGAGGGGCATATGCGGTAGGGGGCCAGTGCCCCAGTAAAGCTTTGTGCCTAGCAACGCCCCTGGAAAACAACCAGAGTCAGAAACCTCTGGAGGATGATACGAAGGTTAATCACTGGGTAGGAATTTAACAATGTGAATAGGTTTAGAAATAAAGCCACTAACCTCATTACAATCAGTAACAGAGCAGGGAAACTAAACTTCAGCTACTTAGTCCAACATGGTAGTGACTGCAGTATGATGTCACTGAGAGCCTGACAGGTAGAGATAGACTGCTAGGTTGAATGCGGGAGATATTTTTAAAACCCTGAAACAAAGCAGTCAAGAGTTCTGCTCCAAGTGAGTACAGCAGGGAGAAGAACTCTGAGGTCCAGGAACAGAAAATGGGTCAAAGCAGCAGGAACAGTTACAGGGATCAGTGTCTGAGGAACAGTTTATGGCTTGTAGTCTGGACATTGAAACAGATAATCTTGCAATTCCTTGCCAGCAAAGAGGAGAATATTAAGTTATCCATGTTATCTATATGCTCTTTACATAGCACTGCAATAGTTAAGGGCACAGTGATAACCCAAAAATTGTATATTTTCATTTTTAATTTGTGGCTTGTATAACAGTTTTAGATTTTGTTTTAATACTTTTTCTTGAATAATGTCTAATATTGTTATTATCTACAACATAATAGCGCTGGGTTTTGAGTACTGTTTTTTTAGGATTATTAAAAACTTTGATGTGTGTGAGACTTCCTTGTCAAGAGGAAGACCAAACAAATATGATGACGATGATTTTTCAGACAATAGGTATTTTTTGTTGTTGTATTTTTTAGTTTTTAATTGCCATATGAAAAATCAGAATATAAGGTGTCTTGTGAGAGATAAGGAAATATATTTTATGACTTATGTAAGACTCATCGCGTATATGCGGCAGAGAGGACTCATGGGTCAAGCTACTTGTCAAAATACGATACTCTAAAATGAGAAATGTGCTCGTTATCCTTTATATTTCCATTATTTTGTACAAAAAAAAAAAAAGAAAAAGAGCAAAAGAACAGTTTGTTATCCATTTTCACATTTTGGTTCAAATATAAAGTTTTTGTTTTTTCATTTTTGTTTTTTTCAGACGAAAAATGTGCATTTATTCTGCTGTAACAGCTTGTAGTTCAAAGTTTTAAAAGAAATTAGGGTTTTCTTGCTAAATTTAGTAATTTTTGGCATTTCATCAGCTGAGGAAATTAGTCGAATAAATGATAAATAAGGATATAGTCAAATAGATTTTTTTAAACACACAATGACATCCATAGTAAATATATTCACATATATACGTTTTTAAAAATATGATGGACACTTTTCTTTTTCATTCACTTGTTAAAGTTAATAGTGGGTATAATTAAAACAAAGAGAGAGAGTATACAAAAAAAAGTTCTAAATCTGACTAATAATACAGGTGCTGGTCATAAAATTAGAATATCATGAAAAAGTAGATTGATTTCAGTAATTCCATTTAAAAAGTGAAACTTGTATATTATATTCATACATTACATACAAACTCATATATTTCAGATGTTTATTTTGTTTAATTTTGATGATTACAAATGACAACAAATGAAAATCTCAAATTCATCATATCAGAAAATTAGAATATTGTGAAAAGGTTCAAAATTGATGGCCCCTGGTGCCACACTCTAATCAGCTAATTAACTCAAACCACCTGCAAAAGCCTTTAAATGGTCTTTCAGTCTAGTTCTATAGGCTACACAATCATGGGGAAGACTGCTGACTTGACAGTTGTCCAAAAGACGACCATCGACACCTTGCACAAGGAGGGCAAGACACAAAAGGTCATCGCTAAAGAGGCTGGCTGTTCACAGAGCTCAGTGTCCAAGCACATTAATAGAGAGGCGAAGGGAAGGAAAAGATGTGGTCGAAAAAAGTGTACAAGCAAGAGAGATAACCGCACCCTGGAGAGGATTGTGAAACAAAACCCATTCAAAAATGTGGGGGAGATTCATAAAGAGTGGACTGCAGCTGGAGTGAGTGCGTCAAGAACCACCACACACAGACGTATGAAAGACATGGGTTTCTGCTGTCGCATTCCTTGTGTCAAGCCACTCTTGAACCACAGACAGCGTCAGAAGTGTCTTGCCTGGGCTAAAGAGAAACAGGACTGGACTGCTGGTGAGTGGTCCAAAGTCATGTTCTCTGATGAAAGTAAATTTTGCATTTCCTTTGGAAATCAAGGTCCCAGAGTCTGGAGGAAAAGAAGAGAGGCACTTCATCCACGTTGCTTGAAGTCCAGTGTAAAGTTTCCACAGTCAGTGATGGTTTGGGGTGCCATGTCATCTGCTGGTGTTGGTCCATTGTGTTTTCTGAGGTCCAGGGTCAACGCAGCCACATACCAGGAAGTTTTAGAGCACTTCATGCTTCCTGCAGCTGACCAACTTTTTGGAGATGCAGATTTCATTTTCCAACAGGACTTGGCACCTGCACACAGTGCCAAAGCTACCAGTACCTGGTTGAAGGACCATGGTATCCCTGTTCTTAATTGGCCAGCAAACTCTCCTGACCTTAACCCCATAGAAAATCTATGGGGTATTGTGAAGAAGAAGATGCAAAACACCAGACCCAACAATTCAGAAGAGCTAAAAGCCACTATTAGAGCAACCTGGGCTATCATAACACCTGAGCAGTGCCACAGACTGATCGACTCCATGCCACGCCGCATTGCTGCAGTAATACAGGCCAAAGGAGGCCCAACTAAATACTGAGTGCTGTACATGCTCATACTCTTCATGTTCATACTTTTCAGTTGGCCAACATTTCTATAAATCCTTTGTTTTTATTGGTCTTCAGTAATATTCTAATTTTCTGATATGATGAATTTGAGATTTTCATTTGTTGTCATTTGTAATCATCAAAATTAAACAAAATAAACATCTGAAATATATGAGTTTGTATGTAATGTATGAATATAATATACAAGTTTCACTTTTTAAATGGAATTACTGAAATCAATCTACTTTTTCATGATATTCTAATTTTATGACCAGCACCTGTAGACCAAAGATTTTGCATATGAAATTATTTGTAAAAAAACGAATACACATTTTAGTTTGAAAGACAAAAACAGCTCTGGCCTTTAGAAGTTAATGCCCTTCCCTTTTTGTATGCCACATTTTTTCTGAAAGTACTTCAAAACGTACACTTGATGTACATTTGTACTCTTCAAGATGTACACTTGATTTATCAAAGCAGGAACTGGGTCTGCTTTCTTTATATGAGTATGGCTAAAAAGAAACCTCCATGGTAACTTTAAGGGGTGGCTTTTTTTTTTTTTTTAAGTTGAAGCCAACAATGGTTCAACTGCTTCCTTAATTAATATAACTCAAGAGCAAAAAAGGAAGTGGAACATAACCAACCATCTGTCTGCAGAAAGTTAACAGGTCTGTCTCCAACAGAAAGGTTTGCATCACTCCACTGTGAGATTGGTAAGTTTTTGGTAAAGAAATTTGAATTATTGTAAAGAAGAAAAGATTGTTTTCCCTTAACAATATTTTACTACAAAAATCAGAGCTGATTTTTTTTGTTGTTTCTGCTTCATATTTGATAATTACATATGGAGAATTAATCAGAATAACAAAAAATGATGGCTTTTAAATGTTTAAATGGGTTGTTACAGGAACAATGATAACAATCTTCATGGCCATCGCAACTGTTGCTGCGGCAGCTCTGGCAAAAGGTATCCCTCAATTCTTTATGTTATCTTTATGAAGGGCTTTTGGTGTATTTATTGGTTAAAAAAAACCACTTGATGTGTATTTCATATCTGCTTGAAACTTATTTTGAAAATATACTTTTAATCTAATAAGCAACCTGCGTAGCTATAATTTCTTTTTATTTCGTTGGTAATAATTTATATTATTTATAATAGTATTTAATGCACTGTACATTTGCATAAAGCATTTACAGCAATTTTTAACATTTTCGATTCATTTTTGATTTTCTTTCTTTTTTCAGCATCTATTGAGTGCAGCTTTTCCGACTCTACTAGAACTCAGTTATGTTATGTAGAAGAGGGACAGCAACTTATTTTTAATCATCAAAAGGTAAATATTAGTGAAATTAGACTGACAAAGGATGATATAAATATAATTTTAAGGATAGACAAGAGTGGAACAGTGACTCTTGATAAGGATTATGTTAACCAGTTTAAACAAATCCAACCTGGAACATTCACACTGGGCATCGCCTTGAAGAAACATTCTGGAGAATACCTCCTGCAAGAATATGACGCTAAAGGAAAAATAATTAGAGCAGTCAAGGTCGTCCTAAAAGTAGAAGGTAGGTTAATTAAAGCTTCTTGAAAAAAATTTGCTACTTTCCGCTGTTATGTATTTTATGTATTTTACAAAAAAGTATTTCCCTTTTCGGCTGATTTTAGATATTATTATGAATTTCTATAAAGGTGATATTTCAGTCACTAATAAAATGTTCTTCAGAACAATTACATTGACATTTGTGACATTAGCTTCTGATTTTAATTTTGCTTCAGTCTTTTTCCAGTGGGCATTGTTTTAACAGAATTCTAAACAGAATACTCTATTAATGTGAAAAAGGTTTTTGGAGATTGTTGCAAATTCATTACAGCATAACAATATGTTTAGCTGTAAACCATAGTTTAACTTTTGAAAGAAGATCTTGAAAGAAGATCAAAAGACAAAATATGGAACTTTTAAAGAGATCTTCAAATGCTTGTTACAGTATTTGTTATTATACAGTTTTATTATCTCATACTATGTTCCTTGTATTATCCAGGTTCTAGGAGTGCTAATGTTACTGCAATAGCCTGTTCCACTGTCGCTCTTTCTGTAGTTCTGGGTTTCATTTTAATCAAACTTTGGAAAAAAAGAAGACAAATGGTACATAATAAAGGTAAAACCATCTGTCAAAACTTTTCTTAATTAACCATAAACATGTATTTATTATAAAGTTTGTTTTTTTCATCTTGATTTCATCCAGGTAATGCAGAAGAGGACACCATATATGCAGATATATAGGAAGATACAAGAAGGACTAAATAAGACATCAAAGGCAGAATGAGTATTGCTCAAGATGATATTGGTGTTTTTCAAGGAAATTATTTATGAAATGTTACCATACATTTAAAACATTAATGTTACCATGGGCTCCATTAAACTGTAAATTTTATATCAAATTCAAAGGAGCAGTAAGCAGAATTTTTCCACTAGATGTTGTTTAGCAGTGTCTGTAAACCAAAAACATGCTACATTTTGCAAAAATTTTCTATCAAGCTTAATCGCATGACACAGGAGGTAGTTTGGTTATACTGATTAATAACTATATTATCAACAATAATGATATGACTGATTCCTCTTGTGAAAGTCAGACTGACTATACATTTTGCTGCTTGATATAACCTGCGACTTCCTTTATTGCATTATGTTTTTGAATTTATTTTGATAAGTGCTTTTTGATCTATTTTTTCCCTCTTCTTGTCAATTTGATTTACAATAAAAGACACAACACACATGCTTAAATTGCTGTTTGTGTATAGACTCACCATTAAGACTCAATTCTAGCAACACTGTTACATTAATAAAAACAAATATCTGACTTCATGCAGTTACTTGTCCAGGAGGAGATAAGTTGACTTCAAGTCAAGGTAATGCTGCTTCTGCTCTCCATTTTGGAAGGGCGATGCCAATCTCAATCCTTCTTTTGTCCCTTTCCTTATTTGACAACTTCTTTTTAAAGACCATTATTTTTTTATGTGGCAATAATGTAAAACTTTGCAAACCAGGGACTAAAGAAATAATACAGAAATGAGGTGTGTAAACCTCACAATAGTTTGTGTAAGAAGATAGCTTAAGATCTTCACTAAACAATTTCTGGTCCGTTTTTTTGTTTCTTTTTTGGACCTACGGGTTAAGACCCAGCCACAGACAAAAAAAAAGAAAAAAAGCCTACTGCTGTTTTTATTGGTGTTGAAGATTTATTTTTTTCTCCCTGGAAATAGCCGGTACGTAAGGGCCTGACGGATTGTGAGCTCTTCCTCTGCAATTTGTGCTTGTATGGTTGATTTTTTGTTAAACATGCCCGGAATAAATACTGTAAATACTTAACCATGTTTCCTCCTTCCTACAACAATTGTATGCACCAAAAAGTTTCTGCCAACAAAAATCACCTCTCCTTCTTTGAAATCTTTGAAGTTCAGGCCTTTTCAGCCACACATTATGTTTCGAAGACAGGTTTTTTTTATTTTTTTTATTTTTTGGTGTGTTTACAGGCCACTCCATTTGTTATGGATATTATTTTAACTCGACAAATACAAAATTAAGGAAAAAAAACATTAATAAGTTGAATTATCTCTAGTGAAGCTGTGCTTTCCATAAAAAAACAACTATACCCCAGTTTTCAGTGTTTTCGACTTTCGTGTACAATTTTGACAAGAAAACAAGCATGCTTACCTCATTGGGTTTAGCAGTGTGACTAGGTGGTTAAAAACATTACCAACGGTGAAGATGTGCTCTGAGGATATGCTGTTCCCCCACAAAGTCACCTTCACAAATATATCATCCATCGCCATTGCTTTGACTCACAAATATGTTTTGAAATCTTTGAAGATCAGGCCTTTTCAGCCTAACATTATGTTTCAAAGGAGAAGAAAAACCTTTATATTCTGCATCGTCATAAATCTTTCCATGAAGTTGCATACAAATTAAACTGAACTACGGCAATAAAAAGAAAATACATTTTTTTGCTTATATTTTATCTGAAGTTTTCAATAAATTCCTCACTAGCCTGTTCTGGTATTTCTTATGATTAAAGTTGCAAAAAAATTGCTGACAGTAAGTGTTGAGTAAATATATATGTGCAGTACTCTCAATACTCTGAAATATCTGCTTCACAAAATTCATTTGCTGACTATCAGCAGTGCCTGTGTTTTTGTAAGATTTTCTAAAACTATAAATGATACCAAAGTATCTGTTCTGATCTTGTAAACTGTAGTAATATGCTCTTGGATTTGAACTTGCAGAGTTGCTACTAAAAAAACTTCAATGGATAAGGAGTTAAGCTGGATAAAATACTAGCAGTATCTATAGGGGGGGAATGCTCTGCTATATTTTAAAAATAATTTGGTCACCAATCCACTATTAACCATACAGTATATGGCACCTCTCATGACCCAGGCCTTTCAGGTTCCTTCCCATGACCCCTTGGTGTGAGAGGTTCTAACCTAAAGCCATCTTTATTTTAATCACTTCAAAATTAATATACTTATTTAATTTTATTTTGTTTTTTATCAGTTGTGTAGTGCATTATAAACAAATGACTGACTACTCTCTAACAATAGCTATCATTCCATGACAATGGAACATGCTACAAAACATGCAGATGAGAAGCTAACTTACATTAGCTCAGATGACCTTGGTGACTATTAGGGTGGCCACCTAGTGAATTTTTATAGAATGTCATGATCTGCCCTGATAGCTCACCTTAATTACTCATGCCTTTCACCTGCTTAACTCTGTGCAGCTCCTAATCACTCATCTCCTCCAGCTGCCGGTTTCCCTTATATAGGGCTCAGTTCCAGCTATCATGGCCAGGTCATTGTTGGATTTCTGTTAGTTCCCTGTTTGCCTTCTGTCAGTGTCCTCTCTGTCAGTTTTAGTTATTTTCAAGGTTCATTTCCCCATTTCAAGTAGGAGATTATTTTTCAGCCTATGTCTTCAGGCTACTTTTAATCCTTCAGTGGTGAAAGTGTTTCAGCATTTCCAGAGTGATTCTGTATTCCTGATTCTGTTCCCTCTCACCCACTGGCCCTGTCTGTCCCTGTCTAAACCTGCCTGCACACTCTGATGGATTCCTGGAACCCGGATCAGGCCATTCCTGAGTGGACCGATCTGTTAAACCAGAGTGTTTGTTATTGGGCTGTACCCCACCCCCCTCCTGCAGTCGCCATGAGCCACAGTCCTGCGCTCCTGTTCTGGTTCTGTTGCTTTTATGTTAATAAAGGGTTTCAACTTTCCAACTGGTTGTTTCACCTTGAATACTGGATCCTTCTGTCCTGTTTCATGACATAGAACCCATGACATTTTGAGGGCAGATCTAAAAGTGTCACATAATCAGAAGCTTAAAGAAAGAACAATTTAAATCCCAACAGGTATGAAAAGCCAAAAGGGCCCACAAATTAATTACAATAAAATTTGGCAACAACTAAAGACAGTAGGGCATACTTGTTAAATGAAACAAAAAAGAAAATCGTAAAAAAAAATCATAAAGAAATGCATATATATATAAACAGTTCAGATTTTTTACTGCATAATGTTTATTTATATAAAGCCTTTTTTTTGTTTCTTTAAGTTATGCACTGCTTAGTGTTGGAATAGCAGGTCAACCTTAAATATAATACATTCAATTTATGGTTGTAGTGTGAAGATAGAAATGATCAGGAGGCGCAAAAACTCGTGAGGCTGTTGGGATCCAGAGGTTTGCCCTCCAGAGGGCGACGTGGATCCCTTTCTGTGGGCTTCTGTTACTGTTGGGATCCAGGGGCTTGCCCACCAGAGGGCGATGTGGATCCCTTGTTGTGGGCTTCTGTTTATCTGTTGGGATCCAGAGGCTTGCCCACCAGAGGGCGCCGTGGATCCTTTCCTGGGAGCTGGTGCTCAGCGCTCAAAGCTGATCCCCATCAGCTCATTATTAAGCTCTCCCTATATAAGCTGGGTGAGAGCTCCACTCCGCCGGATTGTTGAACTGAACTGACTTAGCCACGGTTAACAAGCCTGAGCCACCCTGCCTGTCTGAACCTGAACCTGTTTTTACCTGAGCCTGAACCTGAACCTAACCTGCTTGTCCTCTCTGCCTTCCAGGCAGAAACCTGTGTTTATCCAATAAATTATTGGACTTTTATCCTGCCTGTGTGTCTGTTGAGTTCTGCATCTGGGCTAGTAAAACCTACCTGATCATGACAGAGGCAGTGAAGATACACAGTTACATTTATGACTCCTCAATTTTTACATATAACATTTAAAACCCTTCTCATTCGCACCCTAACCAAACATTTGTGGACAAATGAAAAAGGAAACACACAGAAAAAATGGAAAAAAAACTTGTGGTTTTAACAGGCCTGGTAATGGCTTTTCCTGTCCTTTATTAAAGACAAGTTCCTACTCATAGTTTAGAGTACAATTAGTGTGGCTGTAGAGAGTATGTGCTGGTAATGTTTAAGGAAACACACATCATAAGTACTGTGTTTAAATTTTTTTTTCTTATCTTTTTTTTTTTCTTATAATGAATGCTATTTGGCCTGTACTTAAATTGTGCTTTTTCAAGTTAGGAGACTTGTCCAAGTCACTTTACTACATTCTGCATTCACTCATTGAGGCAACCTATATTGTACATCAGCAGACATGTTCACAAGTTCTTTTTTGCAAGTCCAAGTCAAGCCTCAAGACTCATCATGCTAACTGGGAGTGGCAGCTTTGTTGTTAGGGCGTTGCGCTTGGAATCCTGAGGTTCCGATTTTGAGCCCCACTCCAACGGACTGCCACTCTTGCTCCTCGAGCAAAGACCCCTAACCCAGCACTGCTCCTCGGACGCCAAACAATGGCAGACCACTGCTCCCCAAGGGGATGGGTTACAGTAGTAGCCATTCAGAATTTCCCCACTTTCCTTGATGGGGCCTGGGCTGGTCCCCTACAATTCTTTTTTAAACATCAATCTTTGTACTAAAATATTATTTTTGTTATGATTTGTGAACATTAATATCTAAAGAGAAGCGCCAATCCCAGTGACTTCAGTGAAAGGGTGGAATTAGAGTACAAAAAAATATGCACGCCCAGAAGAAGGAGGGGGTCACTCAGGTGACTGGAATTTGTAGGGGATTCCGGTCGGAATTGAAGGGAAAT